TTACTTACTTATGAAACTAAAGTGACTTATTAGACATTGTGATGGCTTTCAAAACTATTTCTATACTATTATTAGAAAAACGAGTTGTTAACTTAACATTCAGCAGAAATTTCCAGCATAGTGAAAGTTGTCCTTGGGTTCACTGTTTGGATTTTGCTTCTAAAATTTGTGGCCACTAAAGATAAAATTATTGATGGAGCACCAGATTGAGCATTTAAGTGAATTTTAAGCCTGTTTTTGTCTTCAGATAATAAAGCTGTTACCAAGTGGTATTTCTTAAGAGGTTTGAAATAAGTCTTCAGTGGTAAGAGGGCTATAATGATACTTTACTTTTTTCTGTGTGGGAAGAAAATCAGTAGCACAGCTATGTGAGTCCGTGTATGGTACTTTGACAGAAGTGGTTAATAAGTCAGTACAGTACTCCTGTTACAATAACATTTACTATTATAATTTGAGTTCTAGTAATGTGTATGGTAAAATAAGAAGATGCAGACAAAGGCTTTACCCTTTGATTTTATTTATTTTCTAATTAGGGGCTTATTTTAAACAATTTGATATTAAGTAGAATGACTTTGGCTGGGTCTACAAATAATGGTTTTGATAAGACAGAGAATGTAATTTATTGAGCCTTTAAAAAGCAAGTGGTTTTTAAATTTTTTAAGTGAGTTTAAAAGAAAATATTTAAAAAATTTGTTTTTATAGCTAACTTTAGCTCATCTTATAAGTCAGCATAGAATGTTTTGGTGTGAAATATATTACAATTTTTAGATCAGAAATATTGCCTTTTTATCCTTCTCTAAATGTAATTTATAGAAGTTTTGAAAATTTTTATTCTTGATTGTATGCATTACTTCTAAAATAGAGTTGAAGTAACTTTGCATTTGAGGTATATTTCTTTTTGATAGTAAAATGTATTGCACTATAGTATATCACAAATTTTTTAATAGAGAAACATTTTGTATCTCTCGTTTTCTGTTTGACTTAAGACTACTAGTAAGATATGAGGTGTAGCCTGGCATTCCTGTACTAAAATAGATTGTGCTTTATTCTGTGAATATTTATTTAGGGCCAACTAAGTGCCACATACTGTAGCAGGCAGTGGTGATATAACAAAGGAAATCACAGCTTCTGATCTTAAGCACTGTCTATTGGGAAAGACAGGGAAATAAGTCAGCAATTACACTATAAAAAATGTAAGATGTAAATATAATATAGTGAAAAATAACTTTGATCTGAAAGCAATCCCATTTCTAATAACTACAAGAGAAATAAAATAACTAGGAATAAATTTAATCAAAGAGGTGAATGCTATCTGTAATGAAAACGATAAAACATTGGTGAAAGAAATCGAAGCAGACCCCCCCCCAATCAGACATACATCCCACGTTCACAGATTGGAAGAATCAATATTGTTAAAATGTATATACTATCTAAACTGATCTGCAGATTTGGCATAATCCCTATCAAAATTCCAAAGACATTCTTCACAAAACTAGAAAAAATTGTAAGGAACCACAAAAAAATCTTGCCAAGGTAATCTTGAGGACTGGCAGAATGACTCAAGTTCTAGAGCACCTGCCTAGAGAGTATGAGGCCCTGAGTTTAAACCCCAGTAATGCAAAAACAAGAAAGTCTCAAGGTAATCTTGAGTAAAAACAATAAGGCAGGAGCAATTACATTACCTGACTTCAGCATGCACTACAAAGTTGTAATAATGAAAACAACAAGGTAAGCCAGGCCTGCTGATGCATGCTTGTACTCGGGAAGCTGAGGCAGGAGAACCATGAGGCCAGTCTGGGCTACACTGGAGACCCTCTTTCAAGAAAAACAATAAGTAAACAAACAAACAACAAATAACTTTTAAAAAAATCCAGCATGGTGCTTGCATAAAAATAGACACAGACCAATGGAACAGGATAGAGAACCTAGAAGTAGACCCATGCATTTACAACCAGCTGATTTTAGACAAAAGTGCTAGGAACATGCAGTGGAGAAAGGACAGTCTTTGTAATAAATGGCACTGGAAAATGAGATGTCTACATATAGATAAATGGAACTAGATCCTAGGCTCTCACCCTAGACAAAGATCAACTTAAAATAGATGAAAGGCTTAAATGTAAGACAAGAAACTACTAAAAGAAACAGGGGAATGCCTTAGAACATTGGAATGGTCGAGGAGTTTTTGAACAAGACACAGGACACAAAAGCAAAAATAGACAAATGGGATTATATTTAACTACAAGACTTTGCCCAGCAATGGAACCAGCATCAGAGTGAAAAGATAAGCTGCAGAATGGAGGAAAATATTTCAAACTGTAATCTGACAAGGGATTTACTGTAACAAGGGGTATAATCTGACAAGGCATGTAGGATGTGAAATAACTTTCACATCACAAATCATCAGTGATGCAGGCAAAACACAATGAGATATCACTTCACCCCAGTTGTCACAAAGAAAAAAGATAAGTGGTGGTAAAGATGTGGGGAGAGGAGAACTCTTTTTTTTTTTATTCATATGTGCATACAATGCTTGGGCGAGGATGTAGGGAGAAAGGAACCCTCATACACTGCTGGTGGGAATGTAAATTAGAACAACCACTATGGAAAACAGTATGGAGGCTCCTCAAAAAACTAAACATAGAACAGTCATCCAGCAATACCACTCCTAGGGATATACCTGAAGGAATGTGAGTCAGGTTACAACAAAGGCACCTGCACACCCATGTTTTTTGCAGCATTATTCACAATAGCTAAGCTATGGAAACAGCCAAGATGCCCCACTAGTGATGAATGGATTTCAAAAATGTGGTATTTATATACAATGAAATTGTACTCAGCTACAAAGAAGAATGAAATTTTGTCATACACAGGTAAATGGATGGAACTGGAGAACATCATCTTAAATGAAGTTAGCCAGGCTCAGAAGGCCAAGAGCTACATGTTCTTTCTCATATGCGGATT